AGGTTCATATTTACTTGTGAAAAGCATTTTAAGAATTATAAAGAAAAGAAAAAAAACCTGCAGCAAAGATGTTGAAGTTGTAACATCAGCAAAAGTGCAACAATTTCAAGATTGGGGTAGACAATATTGTACTTTCTACTGAAAATATTTTCTAGACATTTAAAGCAATATCTGAATTAGCCCTATTGGGACTCCAGAGCAAATGAAAGGCCATCTTTTGCAGGAATCTGAGAGTTTTCAGAGCATTGCTGTAATGTGTCCTAGTGTTAAAGCTTGAAATTCTCAGGGAGAGTAATAGGTTTGTCCATACCCCACGCCTTCAGATGAGGCACTGGAACTTATGTGAAGCAGGACTCTGCCCAAGCTGGCAACACCAGTGGGAAAATGTCTGAGGCTGAGAACCTCAGGTCGATGGGCTGGGACAGGCTTTGAAGAAACTGCCCCCAGTGACTGAAAACACATGGAATGGGAGCAGAGTGACCAACTGGGCTTCTTCTGCCCCAGCTCTAGCCCTTCTGAAGTGGTGTGTTCAGACCAGGCCACTGGTCCAGAAATGATGGAGGAGAGGTGCTGGCACAGAGGTCCACCTGGTGCATCTGGGTTGGCTGCTTGGAGGTGTGTTAGTGCAGCTGGGCATGCACTGCTTCCTGCCTTGGGTACCAAGACAGAGCAGATGGAGCAGCAGGGCCAAGCTCCCAGAGCTGCCCTAACATCTCCAGCCACAAGTGTCAGCAGTGTCTGAGAAGTCCAGATCAAGAGTACCTCAGTGATGGCAGTGAATATTTATGGTGCTGTCACCATTGTGAATCCCTCACAATATTCATGTGGCTATCCTCTCCCTCACTCCTCCTTTCCCAAGTGCTGCCAAAGGCAGTACCATGCTATCATCCACATTTGACTACTGGCGACCCAGTGCTGTGCCATCACAGGACTGCAGGTTGGACTTGAAGCCCTAGTGTACAAAGCTGGAATTGAATGAGTATGAAACTGCAATTGAGCAACTTATTGGGTCCTTATCCATGTCTCATGCAGAGACCTGTGAGCAGGCTTCAGGCACACTTCCAGGAATAATTTGGTTTTGTGCTGGAAATATAAGGCCAACTGTTTCCATCATGGTCTTATGCTTTTGCTGTCCATTTTTTGTCAAAGTTAAGGTATGTGGATATATGAGGAAATGAAATAATAAAAAACTTTTGTTATTCAAAATAGGAATTTAAATCTAGTCTCACTTTTCTTAAAGGATATGGTTGATATTCTTGCTTGCTTTGTCTGAATCATTGACTGGTCCCCAGTTGTCTAACCGTGCTCTGATAAGAATACCAGAACAGTGTATATACTGACTTCCCATCCCTGGGCACTTTTGGCCTTGTTCTCCTTGGAAATTGTTGAAAATACTGACACCACCTATTGGTGAAACAGTACAGCTAGGAATGATGCTTATGTACATACTAGGAATTAGTAAAATGGAGAAAAGAGCTTGAAATGTCCTCCAGATTGTATCGCAATTTAAGGGGTTTCTTTTTAAACAACATATTCTCTGTTTTGTATGGTTGTGCATAACATGTCCTTGATTTAAAATAAGCAAAGAAAAACTCCAACTCCAGCCAACAAATGTAAAAGTCTACCTTAACCTACGCTTTCTAAAATAATAGTACAAATATGAACTTTCTGGCTATTCTGAATGGTCAGTGCTGTCACTTTTTAAAAATGTGTTTAAAATTTTAAAAAGAAATTGTCTGCCCATACAAATGCTATTTAGAAGAGGTTAAAGGCATTGGGACCTAAATTATTCCCTCCTCAGTTGTGAAATAACTGGAGCTAAGTTCTTTTTCTTTCTGTTCTTGTTCGCATTCTTTCTTTTTAACAAATGTTATCAATTCTCTAAAATGAATGCTTTGTGTGTGGCAGATTAATCAATGTTTGAAAGGCAGTCTACTGGTGGCAGCAGTTTAAGTTCCAGTGCTCTCAGAAGGAGGACTTGCATTAGTCTCAAGTGTTTTTGGGGGGTGCCATGTGATTAATGGCCTCTGGTCATTTGCTTTGGATGTGATAGTCACTAATGTTTACATCAGTAGACAGGACAAAAATTACTTAGTTACATATCATGGGGCCTCTGTGATGACAGAGATGATCAATATTTTGAATTTGTTTAAAAAACAACCTATTTCTGCTCCTGCTTTGTGTGATGATCTTTTAAAAAAAGAATTGTAGTGGCTCCTGTTTGGTATCTCTGGGTTGTTTTTTTTTATCTTGGGGTGATAAACTTATAGCTAAAGAGTGTTATTTACAGGAACTGGGCATAGAAATGCCATGTTTCACTGAAGATGTATTGCAGTACTGTCTTCACTGTTGTCATAACTGGCTGAGCAACTGGAATGGAGCATAGCAGCAGCTGGGAAGCATAAGGAAAGCTTTGTAGGAATAGATAGGTGTTCTTACTGCAGCTTCTGTTCATAACCCAGCCCTCTGTCCTACAGGTTAGTTGGGGACTGACCTCAAAGTGCTGTTTATGGATGTCCCCAGAGCATGTGAATGCTCTGCTGAGGAGCTCCCATCCTGTGAGAAGAGGGTGTAATCCTGTGAGGGGGAGGCTGTGTTCACAGGCAGAGCTGTGCATGCAAGACAAGACCAGTTCACTGCCATGAAGCATAGCAGTCCTGCAGCTCCAAGAGGAAACTAGAGATGAGCAGGAAAGAAACCTTCCAGATGAGCTGGGGAATGGAGTAAAACCTTGCTGAGAATTGTGTGGGAAAAGCCTTGCCAGTAGTAAAATAAGTGTCTGACAGGGTTCCAATGAGATGAATAGTTTTACTGTTATGGTGAAATTTTTGGACAGAATAATACTTGAGTAAAATACATAATTGCAGGCAAAAGTATTTGGCTTTGAGGTTTCTTCCGACGTGCTGCATGTCCAAATTCATAGCCATTGATTGAGATGTCAGCATTTATAACAAAAATAATAGGATTTAAACTTCTATTGAACACATACTCGGATTGTTCTGCACTTTGAAAGTGTGTCAAGTTGCTTTCGGCTAGAAAAGCAAGAAGTGGAACGTAAAATATTTCAATCAAAAATATCAGAAAATGCATATGGAATACTATGGCCCTTTTTTAGCCTTTATTAGCACAGGCAGAGAAGGATGGTGAAAGGAAATGCTGATGTGATTCTCTGACTGCTAGCACTTGCAGGGTCATGGCCAAAGAAAAGCAAAGCATGAGGATAAATCTTATTATGTTTTGCCACTGTTATTACAGTTCAACTTCTTGGCTAACGATAAAATTATTAATTCCCTCTTATTCCTGTACATCCTTTTCTTTAAATAAGCATGGATCAAAACTGCCTGTATGCTTCTGGCATTCTCATGTGAATGTAGGCATGAGGGCTCCCAAATAACTGAGAGCTGATTCTGTGACTGGAATGTGTTTGCTTACTGTCTGTGTGGGTGGCAAAGTGTCCATGAATGTTTTAGCACAGTCAAGCTTGCTCTTGGTTTCAGTACAAGATTTGCCACTGATGCATCAGTCCAGCAGTGACATGGAGAATTTAACATTTAAAAGTGAATATGCTTTTGGATATACTCACTGTTGGACAACCCAAGGGCAAATTGCTGCTAAATATGACTGAGTTGTTAGGTGAACAACTTTAGACAGAGATTGACACTGGGAGAAGGTGCTGGATGCTACTGGTGAACGTCCTGGCAGAGCTCTGTGATGGCTTCTCTGAGTTTAAGAGCTTTACTGCAGTGAGTGGTAGAAGTCTACTGTTGTGAACAATCATTTTCATCTTACAAGGTGCATAATTACAAATTCTGTCTCCAGTGTATTCAAAGGCTAGTAGATGTTTCATGTAGCTCTATTTCCTGTGTAGCTCAGCTGTCCCTTTACCTGTACCATGGCCTTGTGTGCTATGACATTACACAAAGCTGAGCCAGCCAGGCCTGTGTTACACTGCTGACATGTCAGTAGGTGTGTGTGTGTGTGTGGCATAAAAAATATTGAGGAGTAAAGGTTTGGGAAAGAGATATGGCAGCATCCATAACTGGTGAGAGAGCAAAATCCATCTGGACACTGGAAATGCTGTTGGAACCTTTCAGCCTCTGTTTCAGTTGTGTGGTGCACCCAAGTAGTTACAGGGAAAAAAAGTCTTTTCTAATGTGCAGCAGAACTTAACAATGCTGATAGGAATGTGTGTTCCATGGAAGGGATGATGGGATTGTCTCAAATCTTCTGTGTAGCAGACCTGGTCTTTATTCACCATGAATTTATCTGTAAAAGGTTCTAATGGTCTAAAGTAGCATTTCTGTTAATAGTGCTATATTTCAACTTCATTCCATAACTATTTGTGTGTGCTGGGATATGTAGGGTTTCCAGATATTTTCCTTCTCAAATCCCACCAAGCTTTTTCTTCAAAAATTACAACAGTGAGAAAAACGCAAATATAAACTTTGAGCCCTTTGTTTGTGAAAAAAAGCCATTTGCAGGACAGGAGTGGATCTTTCCTGCCCTGGGTTTCAGGCAGCAGCAGCTTGAACAGGAAGTGCTGTATTAAAGTGGAATATGACTGAAGCATTTTAGTGAGAAATGTATTTTTTTTAATGTCAGTTTGATGCTGCTCAGAGATCTAAGACAGTAGCTGGAAAGAGAGTTAGCAAAGGGCACAAAAGGAAGTCAAAAGTGCAAGCAGAATATACTTAAGGTGCTCTTCTCATGACTAAAAATGTGTCTGCTTGGATCCACAACTTAATATCACTGGAAGATTTGGCCAAAATGCTTGATTTTTTCAGTAATGTTTAAGGAATTTGAGGTCATAAGGAATTATTGCAATGAAAAATGCCAGTGCTGTTTGTTAATTATTGGGCCACCATTAAATTTCAACATCACCCAGATCATGGGTGCAGTACTAGTTTGATGCCATCACTCTACCTTTTTGCTTGTAAACAACCATTTAACATGTAATGGCTTGAAAATACTCATGAGTTGTTTGTTTGTTTTCTTCACAGGCTGGAATGGTGTTAAGATGTGGATACTTCTGGTTTGGCTTGTTTCTTGTGCCCACTGCGTGCCTTGTTAAAGACGTGGCATGGACAGCGTAAGTCCCAAACCAGTCTTCTTGGTGTTGTAGGAATTATTCTCTATGAACCCGTTGTCCAGTATTGTTTTGTAAAGAACTCTGAAGTCTCTCAATGACTGCAAAATGGTGGTACTCATTTGGAAGGGAAAAAAGCTGAAGTGAGTGATTCCCAACCTGCCATGGCACCCAGCAATGTGAGAGAATGAATAGTTGTGAGTAAATTTGAAGGAGGTGGCCTTGTCTGAGTAATGAAGGTGTGTCACCTTAGGATTATTTGTCTTGTCTACCCTTTAGTTAAAGGCAAATTTCAGTTGGACATCTGAGATTTCCTCTGGAGCAAATAATTTGTTGAATCTGACTAACGTTAGGTAGAAAGTAGAAATGTGGCACTCTAATCCATACCCAGTAAGGTCTCAGCTCTCTGTCAGCTGATTTCCAGGTTCTCCTTCAGCAGCAGGTCTTTGAAGACTGAACTGGGAGAAGAGCAATACTCTGCACTTCATGTTTGAAGTCTGAATGGTACCTTCACTGCCCAGAGAGGAGGAACAAACTGGTGAAACACAAGTCTGTGTAATTCCCTTCTTTCAAAATTTTGTGGTTTCAAAACATTGCAGAAGGCAAATAATTTCAAGAACTTGGATTTAAAGGGAAGCAACTCACCTTCTGTGCCGTTGCAATTTGAAATACAGAAGTATTTATTTAACTTAATTTATTAAAGTATTAAAGAAGTATTTAATTTAGAATGTGTGGCATTTTGTTCAGCGAACTTTTAAGTGCCTTAAGCACCGAATCTTCCATCTTCTCCCTTGGAAAACTGTGTTACAATTAAGAAGGTTTTGTTGCATGGATACATAATAACTTTGTGCAAGGAGGACCCGGGACATTCCAGCTGCTGGGCAAAAAGTTAGATCCTGCCTGGAATGAAGAGGAAATGCAGGTTAGCTTGTCACTGGTCAGAAAGGCTCGTAGTGAAAACATCATGGCACATAACAATTTACTCCTGGAATGAGCTGTTGGTCAGTCAGGGAACATTATTGGAACCATGCAACCATTCAGGTTGGAAAAGACCTGTGAGGTCATTGAGTCCAACTGTAAATCTAACAGTGCCATGTCCACCAATCTGCTTTACAGAAAAATGCAGAAAATACTAAAAATCTAGGGTTCCCAAACACAGGCACATTTCAAAAACCTTCATGAAAGGTACAGATCAGAAAATCTATTTTTATTTCGTATGGGGTTGATAGCACAGTGAAATTAAACTGGTAATAGGCAAATCTGCCAGTCAGTACTTCTTAAATTTTGCCCCTCAGCTTCATTTTCACAAGCTAGACTGCTCAAATTAAAACTAGGTATTGTAATGTGAAATTTCAACTATGATTTAATAGTCCAGCACATCAGAGGGTTTTTTTTGCAATCACTAAGCTTCTGCAATTGCAAATTATTTTAAAATTCTAAAGCTGAGGCCAAAATGTTTAAATTTAGATACTTAACTGTGTCTGTGACCTGCTTGTTAAAAAACAAGCAGGGGAAAAAAATCTTTAGCTTTTTTAATGTTTTCATGGTAGTTGAGTGTTGTCCTGAAGTTGTCCTCTGTTCTTATCAGTTCTTGGCAAAAATGACTCATGAATTGTAAAACAGGCCAGACCATGGCAGGCTCATCCTCAGCTATTAGTCATTTCAAACTGTTACTGACTGAGCCTGTTCTATAATATTTCTTAAAGAAATCTCGGCAACGTAATCCTTAAAGTCCTTCAGACTGAAAATGTGTAGAGATTGTGAAGCTCTCAAGACAAACGTGTATGATTGATAGACCAGATATTTTCCCCACAGATTTTAAACAGGAGGCTCAGAAAAATATTAAGCAAAAAATCTCTTCTCTGACCAGGACTTTTTTTTTTTTTAACTAAGCCATCACTGAAAAATTAACACCATTAACATTTTAACTAGGATAAATGAAATGACACAGCTATCAGCACTGCCATATGGAAGGAGTAAAGGTCTGTTTCCTTTCCAAGAGGCTTGCCATTTAAAACTAGAGCCTAAGGCCTCTGGAAATCAGCTGGCTCATTTCCACAGCAGTGGTTACACCACATTGCTCTCTGTAATTCAGCAGAATATGGTTTTGGCCATAAAATTCCAGCAACTCTGACTGCTCATGGTCATGGAATTTATCCCTTTCAGTTTCTTTTGGACATGAAGCACATGTCCACAGTCAGAACATCCATATGACCCAAAAGGTATATGCCTAATTTCAGTACAAACTCTGCCAGAAAGCCGTAAACACAATATAGAGTTTTTGTCTGGAGCAAGGTTGATTGGAAGGTCTTTTTCAGACACAAATCTTTTGTTTATAAACTTCTGTGCTGCATCTACTATCAAAATTTCTAATGCTAGAAGCAAGAACATGTTTCCATTGTTACACAGGCTACAGTTGTCAACATATCACTTACCTCCCATGTTCCATGTGGCTCCAGGCTTTTTTATTTTCTTTTTTGGTTTTGTTTTCTTCCTTTTAAATGAATCAAGGATATCTATTTTTAAAGAAAAGGAAGCTTATTATAAATACTTGGTTGAAATACGTTGTTAACTTTGGTCCACTACCCTGAATTCAGTGCCTTGGTTTGCCTTGTAAAAATCCTAGTTATGCCACCATTACAATGAGCAGAGCTTTATACAGTGAGTGGTCCATCACAGTTGGCACATGTCACTTGAATACATGTCACTGGCTCTAGGAAGTCTTGGAATAGCTGACTCACAAAGGTATGTGGGAATTATTAAAAAAACAGTGTGTATTCCAGCAAAATCAGGCAAGAGGGCAAGACTTTATTTGTAATTGGTGTCTCAGTGCTTATTTTACAGTGAAAAATTTCCTGAGCCTTCCAATCATTACCAAAATTTTCATGAACTGTTTTGTGGGGTTTTTTTTACCATGGGGAAGAAGCAGTTTGCACGTGCCAGTTCTGCAGTGTAAGTAAGAGAAGAAGATACGAGGAGCTTTTCCCATCTTTGCCTACACTTGCAGTCCCTGGAATACGAGACTCATAAAATGGTAGTGGGGATAATGAGCCAGAGTAGAGGTAGTGTCATGTTTGAGAAACATTTATGAATGTCACCATGCTTCTCCTGGCAGATTCTGGCCTCCTGAACCCCCTAGATATCCCAGGCCAGTAAAGTGATGCACTTCCCTGGCTTTGAAAGGGAAGAGACACACAAAATACAAAGATAGCTTTTTGCCTGTTCTTACAGTCCCTGATCTTAATACCCCAGCATGTGAGACAAAGGTGAGTTTGTCTTTATATAATACATCAAAATTTAGCTGAACACTTACAGAAAATGCATAATCTCACTGTTGTTCATTGAGGATTGATTGTGCATCCAGGGCCACTTGTAGAGTACTGACCTAAAAGCTTAGAATCCTACGTATAATTCTGTGCATCAAAGGTTTGTAACTTGCTGTAGGGAAAAAGTCATGAAGTATCTAGTCCTGTTGCCAGCAGTCTGTGGAATATTTGCAGTTGACTTTGATAGGAGCAAGGAGGCAATTGTAATACCATATTTTAGTGTTAGTTTTTTAGGGAACATGTGGATAGGTTAGCTCAGACCTTTTTCATATTCTTATATTTATTGATAGTATGTGATTATTGACCATTCCATGGGTGCTCTTGCTTCCAAGTGAAGGAGTGACTTAATGCATAGCAACTACCAGCCCCAGAAGAGCCCATGTGTTTCATCATTTCACTATACTTATAAAACACTTCATTATCCCCAACTTCAGGCCAACAGTATTTCTTACATGTTGTATCATATCAGTGTCAGATCTCCTTGTGCTGTGCTGCACAAATTGAACTCGTTGATCAGAATCCATTCTGTCAAATTTTGAATATTCACTCTAAGGGAAAAGAAAAACATCTCTTATGGCTTATGGAAAAGCAAACATGGAACTTTGGAAGAGATTGAATAACTTGTACATTTCTGTGTTCTTGTCAGTGGGGAAAACTGGTTATAAAGGATTTGAAAAATTCCAAATGTGCTGTCTTGAAGTTTGCAATAGTAGGTATGACCTCTTTAAAGGGGAAGAGATGAAGGTCAAAATTTCAAGGTCAAAATTTCAATGTATTTATTTAAATTAAAGAGTTTGATAGTGAATTCAATGGAAAAGATTGTAAAAATTAATAACCTCAAAGCTTTCTCATTTTAATAGCTATATTTTCCCTTCCTCAAAGAGGAGACCAGTCTAATCATTAGCCTAACTAGTTACAGCAACTTGAATCTAATTAATTTCTGTGCAGCTGTTGGTAATCTCACATTGCTGAAGCATTATATATTTTAAAAATATTCTCGCTACTCATTTCTTTTGACACAGTATGTTGGTGTTGCAAACGATGCACCTTGGCTGGTTTATTTTAACAATATACCCTTCTAAGTACATCCTGATAATCTTTACCTTCAGATTTTGCTGTGCTTCATCTTCTGTTGTTCTATTTTTTTTCCTCTTAACTGCAGATGTGTTTTGAAAGTAATTTTAATTTTAGCTTCTCATTTTTAGATATTTGGAGCCTAATTCAGCAACACAAAGACCAGAGGACTTGGATATCCTTGTATTAGTATCAAGGCACTGTCATTATAAACAGTGTCAGCAAAGATTTTATGGTCTTTGTTTCTTATTCCCTATGGAAGGAGCAATAAGTATCACACTTTTTTAAAATAAATGCATCTTCATTATATTTTAATTACATACACACCAGTTATTATTTTTCTGCTAGAGGAGGTTTTGCATTGTTTTATATCATTGGCTAAAGATTTTAATGTCTGCATGTAAGATTTTTATAAAACTTGTAATGAAATTTTTGCCACCTTTGAGCTGAAGAATGTTATTTTAATGCTATGAAGCAAGTAGTGTCTCAGCCGACTTGGCTCCATCTTGTTTTTAGGCTTATTGTGCAGTCACATGCAAATCAAGATATTCTCATGGGACACTTGTCCTCCTTTCAGTGGCACAAAAGAGGAAGCTGATCAAAAACTGCCCATGTGAGAAAGATCCCTGCGTTTTATGTTCTTGCTTTGTACAGGTCAAGGAAAAGGGGACTATATTGTCTGCCCTATGTCAATGTAATTTAGGTATTATAGCCCTGGAGCAGTAGGTGAACCTGGGGGGAAAAGGCCCAAGTCTCTTCATGGGGGACTCTAAATTGCACTCTAAATTTTGATTGCATGTGTGGTGCATGGATTACTCTTTGAATCCTCAAGCCGAAAAAGCAGGAGGACACAGCCAGTCTTGTTACTGTCAGCTGGGAAGTTCATTGAGGAGAGAAGTGCCTTTCCAGTACGTGAGACTGATAAATGAAAATCAAGGGGCTTGAATGGCAATTACTAGCTGAGACTCTCCTCTGGTTTTCAGAGCAGTGCCACACGTAGCTCAAAAGACAGAGTGGATTCATGTTTTATTGCCATGAATATTCAATGAATCCCAGCTCTTTTGTCTGAGTGCCTGGGTCCTGAGCAGTCCCACGGCAGCGGTGTCAGGTCTCTGTAGTCCCATAGCATTGCTGCTTGGGTAGATTTGGAGGGTTGGGTTGAAGTGGCTGAGCTCTGTTTAATTTGAAGTCATCCTGATTTCTCACTTGGTATGTATTTTTCCCCAGGTATTGTGAACCTGAACTAACCATGCCTACACTGTGACTTATTTTCCAAATTTTTCAAGGAAGGGCCCTGTGTCTCTCACCTGAGAGGTAAAATTGGGGGTTTGTGGCAAAGCAAATGTTCACATGGCTTTTCTGTTTTGTTTTTTGTCCTTTCCTTGTGGTACAGGGCGAAGCATACCTACCATAAAACTTTGCTGGAGCAAGTTAAGGAGTTGGAAACAAAGACAAGAGAACTGGGAAAAGCCATGCTTCGTGATAGTAATGGAAAGAGGCAAGTCTATGCTAAATGTTTAAACCAGACCCTTCTTTTCCTCTCCCCTGCCTATTTCTCGTTCATCATTAAAATCTGATTGTAGACAGGCTAATAAGGCTTCTTCCCCTGTATTATTAATTTATTGCTGTTCCCTTTCATATGTGTCTGTTCCCCCCACAGAAACCAGCCCTTCCATTTTCATTTCTCCTGCATTATTGCTGTGAGGCTCTATTGGAAACTGCTGCTCAGTCTCCTGCGTGGTAACATGTAGTGCTCTTACCTGGCCACTGAGCCAGACTGGTTTTGAAAGCACTTTGTTATGTCATCCAAAAAACAAAACAAAAAAAAGATAACCACGTCAGAGGAGGGAACTGTCAGCAGCTCAGGATATAAAGACTGCAGCTAAAAGGAGAACTGGCTTAATCCATTGTGCCAGTACTTTATTCAGTTTCACCTTAAAGGTTTTTTTATGCTTTTGCTTTTTTCACTACAGCTTGCAGGTCTCTTGCCTTCAGGGTTCTCAGTTTCTCGTTGTGCCTCTCCCTTATAACCACACCATATGGACTTGAATATATTGCTATTATTGAACCTTTCATTGTATAGAGAGAGTATGTGTTGTGTGGGAACTTTTGTCTCTTCTGAAAGAAGCTAAAGAAAATCATGGTGAGGCTTTTGCATCCAACAGTTTCATTTACCATCTCAGAATGTGGTTCTGCATCAGCTGGTTGGAAAAGCTCCCCAAGTTCAAAAAGGTTTTAGAACTAACTCTTCTATTCCTTACACAATATGGCACCGCATGACTTGCTAAGAAACTACATGATCATTAAACTGGATTTTAGCAAACCTTATAAACTGGCAAACTGAGTGGAATGGGGCTTTTAAAAGATTTTGTTCTTCTGGGGCAGGGTCATCTTTTGAGCCTTTGATGTCTATTCTAAGGTAAACTAATTGCCATATTTTAGCTGCTGCTAAGACAAGCAGATAGTAGATTTTTTCAACGGAATTTTTGTGTTAATAAGGACTGGTTTTAGAGAAAATTACCAGGCAATGATTTACTGAGATTATGGTAAACTGAAAAGCTTTTAAAATAACTTGTATGAACTTTAATGTGTTTATAAGATGTCTTTAGTGACCAGAGTTTGCTTCTCAGAGGCCAAGACAAAGTAAACACAGTGTTATTGATTAAGATCACTTCAAAACACTTGGTATCTTCAGTTTTTGAGTAATTTTTCTGCTGCAATTTTGGATCTAGCAAAACAGAGTTTATAAATTGTGCTCTACTAGCGAAAGTCACAGACTGCACATCAAATGATTTAAAAAGAGAAGGCAAACTTTGCAGCAACAAAGGCAGCCTTCTATGCCACAATTATAACCAACAAAGGTGCTTAATATCAGGCGTTTAATTAAATAATGAGCCTTGTTCTTAGAAGGTTGAGCAGTCCTTTTGAAGTCAGTTGAAGCCAAAGCGCTTGGTACCAAAATCAGGTCAGTCTCCCCATACAAGAAAGGTGTGACCTGGTGTTGTGAAGTGCTGGCTGATGAGATACCAGGTAAGTGGAACCCAGACTAGCAGAAAACTGATTTTTCCCAGGCACATGGTTTGGGTATGAACTCTATGAGTTGCCTAGGTGTTGCTGTGGTTCCTATCCAGGCATTTATGTGGGATTATATTGATGCTAGTTCGAAGCATTTGTGTTTTTCTGATGGTGTTTGATGCCAGCTGTTGACAGAGAGGAGCTTTGTGCCTGGTGCATCCCTGGCTTGCAGGGTGGGTTGAGTTGCTGTTAACAGCAAGAGAGAGACAGTCAGCATTTGATCTGTTTATACGTGCATGTCTGTGTCTCCGAGAGCTTGATGGGTTTCTTCTCTGTTTACACACTGTCCTGACTTTCTGTAAATTTCATGGCCATGTTGTAATTCATTCATACACTCCATGTTTTCATAGCCTTTTACTTTATTGCATTCTCACTGCAAACTCTTTCATCTGCATTCCTCCTCCATATAGCTTCACTTCATTCTCGAAACGCTTGCATGGAGATGATGTAAGGAATCCCTCCTGGCCCTCCTTCCCATTTTCCCTCCCCCCTTCTTTCCATGCATTTGTTTGTTCTCATTCCTAATTGCTCCCAGATTTTCTGGGTGGTCCATCTGTGAACTAGATAATAGTAGAGTGCCTCTGCCTGCTTGGAGTTGGTGTGCTGTGCTTGTGTTGTGGCCTCCCGACTCCTCTTCAGAGTTGTTTTGTCTTTTATCTCTTTTGTCTGTCTCATGGCTCTTTCACACCTGCTAGAAATCGTGTGCTTGTCCAAAGGGAAGGGTGAGGGTGGGAAAGAAATAGAGTGGGAAGTTTCTTCAGTTAGTCTCTCTCGTTCATGTTCTTTATTTTTTAAAAATTTCCTTGAAGCTGGTGGAAACATGTGCTAAGGTGCATGCTCTGCTCTCCCCTCCTGCCCGCAGCCCCATTGCTCTTGGGATATTTCTGACAATATGACACTATGCAGGAAGGGAAAGTATCTTCTCATTTCTAATAGAAAATAGAGAGTGTGTAAAAACTGCACAAGTCTGTCTGTCACCTCAGTCCTTGGTTGGAAGTGTTCCTGAAAACATGTCCATTAGGTGCTGGCTTGTTCAGGCAGCTGTGGAAGATAAGCTGGCTGTCATCAGGGTCTGTTTTCCTGGCCTACATAGCAGACACTGTTTTGTTCAGTGTTTTTCACAAACAAACAACCAAAAACTCACACCCAATTACAGATAAGAGAAGGATTTAGGGAGCTAATTGCTTTTATCATTTCCTAGACCTTAGACAAAAAATGAAGTGCAAGATCTGAATGTTCAGAAGTAATCTGCTAAACAAAAAGCAGTTTGCAAATCCTGGAAAGCAATGAGTGCATCTAGACTTGCACAACAGATTGCCAGCAGTTTGCTGTGACTCAGCTAAATTGCTGTTAAATGTGGGCAGATATCACCTGGGTCCTTGCTGCACTTGGGGAAGGAGTTCTGAGAGAGCTGTGTGTGCCACTTGATACCTATATATGCATATCATGTCTCAGAGGATCTTCACCCTGACAGCTGTCTGTTCTTGCTAGACACATTTTTCTGGGTTAATAAAAGATGTCTTCACTTGTGCTTGTTATATCTTTCTGAATCTTAGCCCCTTTGAACAGTTTCTAAAATTGAATTTGCTTGTATTGCTCTAAAAAGCAGGTGCGCATTTTTGCCGTACCAAAGGGTGGGAATAAACAGCACGGCAAGTGGTTGGTGAGGGACTGTTTGGTCTGTGCAGGGTAGAGTGTCAGCACCCTGGGCACTACAGCTGGGTCCCAGAAACCTTACAAATAGCATTAGAGTGATGCTTGGAGATGATAGCAAGTGTATAGTCTTGAGCTGTAATGGGTCTTATTCCTTTATGCTCTTATTCCTTTATGTGTCTCATCTGGACAGCTGAAAACTTATATTTGGTAGAAGCTAGGATGATGACTAAGATAATTCCAAGAGCAGGGAATTCATCAGGGAAAACATGTAACATGGAAACAGGGGGAAACATGGAAAACGGGCAACTCCAGAAACAGCTTGAGAAACGGGAGAGGGAATGTGCAGCAAGGGGCTGTGATGGATCCCATGCCATGCTTGCCTGCCTGTGGAAGATGAGTACCCACACTTGCCCTCCCCAGCCTGGGCACCTGGCAGTGCTGGGCTGGGCTCCAGCCGAGCTGTGACATGAGCACATCTTGCTTAGGAAGGGAGAGGGGCTCCCTGGCACTCTCATGTAACAAAAGGCAGGATTTAACACTAAATTTTCATGAATTTGGAGAGGTGAGAGGGGCAGCTCATGTGCCAAAGCAAACATGGACATGAGGAGACACCTGCCCAGCAGATTTAATCATGTTAACATGTAAGATTTACACAAAGAAAACAAACAAGGTTTGTGTTCAAAAGCAGCATTGAGTTCAGCTGCAGAGATTTTTGTGTCTTTAAATAAGTTTACAACTTAAACCTTGGCTCATAAAGGGCCAAACCTTCAAGTTCTCATTCACTTTTCACTCCATCTACCTCTCATTGAAGTCAGCAGGAGTTCAGGTGGAGTAAAGCCTGATTAGGCACCAAAGCAAACTTTACTTTGGAAACCCATGTCACTTTATTGCTCCACTGGCCAACTAATGGAGAGTGAGCAAAGCTGTGCAGCACCTTCTTTGCGACAGTGGATTTCCTGTTCCAGAGCGTTTCTCTGTCTTGGAATTGCCAGAGAGCTCCCTTTGAAAGCAGCTTTTTGGTTGTTTTTCTGTCCTGTTATTAATTGGTTAGTGGGCAGGATTAGATTGTTTGATACTGAAGAACAATGGGGCTTTCATGATTTGCATACTTTACAAGGAGCTGAAGGAACTCTCTGGGCTGTTGCAGGGGAGTGCCTGCATCGCTGAGGTGTTGGGAAGAATTTCTTCAAATGAGTCAGAGATCTGGGAGGCAGAGTCTTGTCTTGAACAAAGGTGAAGGGAAGTGACTACAGACCTAGCAAGGTATAGCTGCAGTGTGTGTTTGCACAGCATTTTTCAGTACACCCCTTTACTCTTGCTGCTCTCAGACACCCACTGGTGATGGCTGTGGTGCCTCTTTCATCTCTATTTCATAAAACAAGTACTGTTTTTTTTCCAGTGCACCTAAAACAGCAGCTCCCCACAGTCTCCCCATTGTCTGCCTGGGGCCACACTGGTGTAGATTCTCTTTAATTTTAGTGCTTCTCACCAAATCTAACCCTATTGCTTTGGTGAAAAGTTCATGACCAGCTCTCACCCTGAGAGCAAGTTGTATCATCTGTCTTGGCTTTCTTTGGTGTGTGAGGGCAGGTGCTGTCTCATTTCAATAGCTGTGTGACCTGGTGGGTAATCAGTGAGCTGACACAGGCAGCCATGGAGATTTCCCTGCTTCACAGGTCCCTGGGGAGGAGCAAGAGGGCAACACGGGAAACCTGGCTTGGGCTTGTGGCTGTGCAGAGAACTGAGTGGCAGGTGCAGAAATGGTAA